AGGGGTTGACAACATGTCACTCCTTATTTATAAGTAGCTTGGCTAATCGAATTCAGAGAATACCGGGTATCAGCACAAGCACAGATACATGGAACAAACGTTAAACAGCAGTTCATTCAATAAACCTGCTCCAGATGCAACCCAATCAAATACAGATACGTTCCACCCTCCTCCAATACCAAATTATTATTTGCTAATTACCTGTCAGTCAAATGACTTGCACTGATGTCTAGTTGGTTTACATCAATTATGCTATGCTGTGAATTTATCAACTCTTTTGGATAATGTTGGGCTAAGCATTAATAGTCTTCACTTTAATGAGCAAATAGAAACTCAACATGTACAAGAAACAGGAATTGCATGGCCATGGATTCAGTTAGTTACACTGTGGTGTGCATCAGTCTTTTTTTAGCTTATATTTGTTTACATTTCATCACAGTAAGTACACCGAATGTGCTACCAGCACTTGCTGTTTTGCTATTTGCTGTGGACATCTGAGATAATGAAATTCTCTGAAAGTGTAAGTCAGTAAATCTAAAATGTATATCATATCTGTGGACTTTGTTTGTTTTACTAAGCAGGCCATTGCATCTTGTGTTTCTATGCTACTTTAGCATCAGGTAAAAATTGTGAAATGCAATGATCAATAACGTCATTGATATTGATAGTAATCACCCAATGTGGATATAATTCTTAGAGATACTGGGGGGAATTTCTAACTATCATCACCCATGCCGGTTTCTTTTTTAGAGAATAGAGATCACGTTGTCATCAGGCTCTGTTTTAACCATCTAAATAATTACCCCCACATAATAATGGCTATGTCTTTTTTTAAAACTAGCTGTTTCACACCTTAAATCAAAGGGGTCTTGTCTTCTCATTTGAAACTAAATATCAGCTCAACTCTGTTTTAGCTGCATGTAACGTTTTTGTGTTTTATTCATCTCACACTACATAATAATGGCCATGTCTTTTTTTAAAACTAGCTGTTTCACACCTTAACTCAAAGGGGGACATCTATTGTCTTCTCATTTGAAACTAAATATCAGCTCAACTCTGTTTTAGCTGCATGTAACATTACAAACTGCATCATTACCCCTTGTCTTTAGTTTTTTAGATCCATCCATCAGGAAAGGAGAAGAACAAACGTACCCCCCTGCTAGGACGCTGGGAAGGGGGCATGAGAACCTGTGGGGGTGAACTTTTGACCACTGAGGGGAGGGTGGGGTGATGGGGGTGATCTCTGACCTGAGAGAGGAGGGAGGAATGGGGAGGGAGGGGGGTAAGCGGTATCTATACTGTGTGTAACGTGCCTCATGCAAACACACTGTCACTTACTCTTTGACCCTCTGCATTAACTGGTGGTAGGTCTCAGCAATGCAGTGTGGGACATTATAAGTTACACCCTGTTGCCATATGTAGTCATAGTCGACTAATGCCCAGTCCCTGAGAGTGAGAGGAGTGCTTGTACCATCGCCGTATATTACAACCTGTAAAGCAAAGAAAAATGGGATGAAGAGAAGGTTGGAGGATCGTGGGAATTTCTATTACTCTGCAAGTATGAATGTACAATACCTTCAAGTAAAAAAGATTCAAATATTTGATTTGTATTTTCACAACAAATGAGGATAAAAGTAGCTGAGATATTGTTGTTTTCCTTTCACTATACTTGTTATTAAAGGGGATTTCTGAGTGTCTTGGCTTTATTGCTCAGTTCCCCCAGCCTTTGAAAATTCTTTTTAAAAATATTTTTATATCTCATTTCCATGTTCTTGCATTGAGGTAGCAACTTGGCACAAAAATGTGTGATTTTGCATTTAAATCAAACTAAATATTTATAGTTTTCCTTAATTCCTTTCCTTATTGTGTCAAAATTATAAATGAACTTAATTGAACTGATGTCTCCTACCTCGTCAGTGAATGTCACTAGTGCCACTCTCCTGTGAGGCGACTGCTGTAGCATGGTTGACAATGTCTTCTGTAAGGCATCCTGGATCCCCTTCAGAAACAAAAAAATCTTTTAAAAAAACCTATTTAAAATGTCTTCAACATCAACATGTCTACCACGCAAGTATTGCACACAAAACAGTTTGAATTCAATCATTCCACATGGTGAACCCCAGCAAATCAGTATCTCACCTCTAGTCTGGAAATGTGTGTTGAAGGTCCACTGCTTGATGTAACCTAAAGCCAAGGAAATATGTTAGGAAGATTTTTTGAGACTGACATTTCTCCACATATAACAATTTAACTTTGTATGTACACTTAAAAAAATTGTATTATGTGATTTAAGACAGTGTCCTGATTTTCTCTGATATTTAATTTAGTCTCCAATCAGACTTTGCTGTGTCAGCGTGACGTTTCTATCCTTGGAGTAGTGGCTGATGATGCTCCTGGAGGTACGACTGACTTCTTAGTATGTTAAGTCTAAGATATCCTAAGATTTCAGTTATATTTAATATGAAGGCAGTGAGGGTAACAAAGAACCAGGAACTCAATGTGATAGACCAAAGTAGAAATGGAAGTAAAATGAAACTAAGGGTCAGGGAGCAATCAAACAAACTACAAACCATAACAATGTTAAGTGTTGTGGAAGTGTTGCACTGAAGTGTGTACCTAATAAAGTGGCCCGTGAGTGTAGATATAAATACACTACAGTGCTGAAGATTAAGCCAGTGGTTTTGAACATTTTTTTTTCCATGCAACCTTCAAAACAGTGTGTGTGTGTGTGGGTCTCATGTCATGTTTCAGAAAGTAAATAAAAGATTTTCCCTAAAACAGTTTAATGGTTCAGGGAAAAAACTAACAAATAAACAGAACAAATGGAAAGACAAAAGTCCAAAAAAAAAAAAGTAAAAAGTAATGTATATAAACAAACTCTATTTGTACATGGTGGATAATGAAAGCAGGACTTGAAGTTTTTACTAAGTAAAAGTGCTTTTACACACACACACACACACACACACACACACACACACACACCTCTGTAGTGACGCTCATACTGCCAGAAATGTCCACACAGAACACGACCAGCGTGTCCTCCAAGTTCTGGTAGTCGTCTTCACTCTGTTTTGGCAGGTAAATGTCGTCGCCGTGCACACCTACATACGGACTATTACATACATCGCTTACGTTGTCGCCCACACTGTTTTCACAGCCACAAAACTCACACACCCACACCTGAACGAGAGGAAGAAAAAGGGAGGTATTTTAATTGATTTTATTTGTAATTTCACTTTTTACGGCTCCTTTGTTTTGATCACATTTGTTCCACTGATATAAAAATTTACTATACCTCATTTTAAAAAGTCTAGACTGTCTAGAGAAACAACTCAAAAGGAAAAAAGACAATAAAGTTCACTCCACACAAAAAAGGAAACATATATTTGTGGAATAAATGACCACTCACCTTACTCTGTATAGAACTCAGACATGACAAGGCAGCACTACATTTCCCACAAATCACTGGGCTCTGAAACTTCTCCATGCCTGTAGCTGATTAGAGAAGAAGAAAAGGAAAGCAAGGGTTTAAAATAAAAGCCCACTGGACAGGTGTGTTGGTTTGTGTGTGTCTTCTGACCTTGGCTGATGTCAACCAGTTTTCCAATACTGAGGGAGACGATGTTGACGTTGGCTTTCAGCTTGCCTTCTCCTTTCAGCTTGTCAACTGATGAGACCCAACATAAGGGAGAATGAAAAAAGCAACCGTATTTCTTTGAAATTCAAGATTATTTAGAGAAAGGACGAACAAAGGGCAAATAAAACTCACGTCTGGGTGGGACGGGAGGAGGGATGGACAGTGGTGGGGGAGGAGGCTGAAAGGAAGGCAGCGGCGGGAGAGGGAGGGAGGTAGGCCGAGGTTTCCTCAGACGACGAGGAGGCAGTGGTGGAGGAGCTGCACACACACACACACACACACACACAAAAAAACTGTAGTGCAGTCTGTGTCATGTTTCCTATTCACCCACTCACATACACAGGTGTTCAGACATCAGTGATATTACTGGGAAATGGATTTACTTCAGGCCTTCAGCACAAAGCAAAGCTTTGCAAAGGTATTAAAATGAGTCACAACCAGCTGTAGTAGATGTCAGTCAGCACATCATATCCTGTTGCAGAACTGAAGAAGTACATATATTTCTTATATACAAACTTAAAAAAAAACCCTCACACTATTATATGTATATTAAATTGTGTATATGTTTAAAGCATGTGACTGGGGCACAGTATAGCATGAGGATATGTTACAAGCAAGCTAATCAGAAAGTCCAGGTTTATTATTAGTTAGCCTTTTTTTTATTCTCAGCCAGTTTAACTAACCAAGCTTAGACTGATCCGGGTTTAGTTCTTAAGTCAAACAATGACAAGACCTTTTAAAGTTCAGTTTAACAAGGCAGCTACTTTCTTTGTTTCTTTTCTGTTTGAACCAGACTGTCAACTATTCAGGCATGCTCACCATCCACATTACAAAGTCCAAGCTTTGACACTGACTGTTTTGGTGATAAGCAGCTCCTAAATTGAGACTGCCCTCCTGGGAAATGGGGTGGGGTTTTGTCTTTCATTAACCACATTTGTCTGGCTGCTTCTTCTTTGTATGGGCTTTCCCTGGTTGAAGTGCTATCTTTACATCTCACTGTGCTTCTCTCTCTCTCTTGCATTTGCAAGCATGCCACCCTCCCCACACATTTCTACTTTATATTCTTTCCTGTTATTTTCACTGCAATACTCTTGAGACTCTAATGAAGGCATAGACAGAAAAACAATGTCGACCTTAATGAACACTGTGCGTTTGTGCACTTGTGTGTGTGTGTTACCTTCTTGCTGTTCATCAGCCACTGTGTATTCATACGCATTCCTAGTAGGAGAATCACCTGTGTGGTGTGAGAGAAATCAGTTCCTGAATACAGGTTTATAGTGTCAAATTAACCAACAGTGAATAACATAAAACAAATATGTTAAACACACATTTTTTAGTTAGTGCCAAACAATGCTTTTGTATGCATGCCACTTAGTCCAAGCTAAAGGGATGTTAGCAGATCTGATGTCACTGATCCTACTAACTCTCATCCATTAAACTCAGAAAACACCCTTATTTTGAAATAAAGGTAACATGACTGCTGAGCACTTGATTACCCCAGTGCTTAGCTGGCATAGATTCGAACAGTTAAATGTATTTGCTACTTCACAAAAAAAAAAAATCTATACAAATCAAGCACAGGATAGAAAATCAAACAAGCAACAAAAGTTCAGAAAAGCAAATAAATACATATTAGCAGTATAAGATAAGTAGGCTATAAGTTTAGGGCTAAAGAGCAAATTTTCTTCTGAAAATGTGTATTTATACAAAAGGTTTGCAGATATTTTGTGATATTTATGGGACATGGAATTTAAAACACTCACCTGCTCCATCATATGTCCCATTACATACAACGTGACTACAGGCAAACTCCATCTGAGATGCACAGACACAAAAACCTTTTATTACGTTCCTATAAGCCTAATTTTCAATCAGAAAGACTTGAAAGTGAGAAATATGAATGCAAGACACCAAAATCGCACAGATAAGCAACATGACAGCAGCAGAGCAACTTCCTGGCATTTGGCACCAGGGGCTTTGATTTTGTTATTTTTCTAGTTAGCAGGTGGCTGAGTAAAACCATGAAAGCAAACATTTCCTGTTTGAACAACTGTAAGGGAAAAGAGGAAAACATAGTAGAGAATGGCATGGTAAGGGTTAAGATTAAACATAAATATATATAACAGTGTTTAATGGCGGGCCAACACATGCACAGATGATTTCATTATTCAGTATGATTTGGTTAAGTGAAACTGCCAATGCAGGCCCCAAACTGAACACACAGAACTAACACCAGTGAGTTCACTATGGCGCAAACTCTAACCTGGCAGTGAAATGCTAACCAGGTCTAATTTTTAAAAATAGCCATCACATTCTAATTGGTTGTTATGGGGGTTAAACTTCTGACTGAATTGCATGTCTCTCACAGCTGTAACCAACAGGCTGACCCTCTAAAATCACACCTCTGCCACAAAACAAACAAAACTTCTTCCTTTGAGGGATAAAACTCTTTCTGTCCTGGTGCTGATTAACTCTCATCTTCTTCTGTTCTTAGCTCTGAAAAGGTGGATAATGGACATAGAACAGGTGAACAACGGTTTTCAATTCTACCACAATGAATCGAAGTAGAGCGGAAACGATTTATATTCACTGCTCACGTTCTAGCATCTCAAATGTGACAATTGTTTTTTTGTTGTTTTTTTTTTCCAGTTTTATCTCATTGTAAATTGAACATTGCAGATTTTTAACTCTTGGCTATAAGGCTGTTTAACCAAGGAACTCACTGCAGTCCATTGCCATTAAGTGTCTAAGTAATAGTGTACAGTGTATAGTCTTCTGCATTTCACAGCCCTCCTCCATTTATCTTGGTTATCACAGCCCTGCTTGTGGAGAGTTTTTACACAGTGTTTCTCACTTCATACACCGCAAAATGAACTGACACATTGAGTGTGAAATAAGCAACAGATTAGATGATATATGACATTGTCATTAGTTACAACCCAAACCAATCAGTTTAGGTTGATTCATTAACATGAAAAACGCAGGAAACAGGCATATTTTCACTACAGAATAAAAAAAAAAAGTCAAATTTGAAGCCTCTAAAGCTGACCATTTTAGCTTTACTAATAATCTAATAGCATAGATTTAAGTTAAGAGTTTAAGATATGTGACTTTATTGTGGTAAGGACCTGCAAAACAAGCACATGCCGTTCTTTTCCACAGATGTTTGCATTCCAAAGCACCATGATCTGTTTTAACTGTGTCCTGTCAATCATTTTAAAACCACAGCTGTCACCTACTGTTGGCCAAATGAACGTCTCACTGGGGACATCAGACACAGGTCTGGTAAACATCAAATTAACTCCACTCCCCGATACAACACAGCTGGGAACAAGAGGGAACTCCTGTACTTTAAAAACATTAGTGTTGGTAGTTTTGGTGGCTGCTCGTCTAATCAGGTTTCACAGAGATTCTTCCTGCACTCACATGCACACACACCGTCTCAAGATTTTCATAGTTTAGCACAAAACACCCAAACACACAATACAATACAATAAGAAAAGATTTACCTTTACCAGCGTCCATGTATAGTGGTGTTGCTAAAACTGAAAGCAAGTGCGCCTGTCGCAGGTTTCTAATATATGTGCATGTGTGGGTGTGTTCAAAGTGTGTGTGCGTGTCACTTGTGTGCCAGGAAGTTGATGCAAGGTTGACAGTCAACTGAAAGAATGAGAGAAATGAAAGTTGAAAGAAAAAAAAATAAGAAAAAGACAAGGAAGAAAGATTTGTATCAACAGATGTTCTAAAACTTAAAATCTACTGTAGCATGAATGTGTGGCAACCTTTGACCCCAGCACCAGCCAACAGTGTCTATCCCTGCCGGAGTGCCCATAAGCCAGTCTGCTCACTGAGCTCTGACCTCTTGGTCAAAGGCACATTCATCTGTGCAGACTGCTGTAAAAACCATGTTCACAAACATACACACTTTGTAAAATTTATTTTATTAGCCAGTATTAATACAGTTTCATCAAGAGAGTGCTTTCAGTTCACACAATATGATCTATGTGCACAGTGGAACTTAAATGATATTCAGTGGATCACTAAGTTACAATAGGTTGTCACATATTAGCCGTTACATAGTTGTTAAATATTTACACTTGTGTGTAGCTAAATGAACCGACTTATAAAGCTATTGTTACTCTTTTAATTCTAAATCTCATTTGGAAGCTGTTCAATCAAATTACATCAAAATGCAATTTTAAATTACTTCATGTTGGACAGCTGCAAAAACATCCGAACTGTTCACCCTGTGGCATGATAGTGTTGTTCTAGTTGTCTGGTGAGAGCAACAACTTCCTCAGATACCATTTGCTGCGTTAGTTCTGCCCCTCCAGCACCTCCAGTACAGCTCGCAAGATGGCCGATACCGCCACAGCGCCAGGGTCGGGCAGGGTGAGCCGTTCAGCTGCGATGTAGCTGGCTCTCCCTGCCCGTGCTGCGAGATTACGAGTCTCCTCCGCCCCCAAGGTTGCTTTCTAGAAAGTGGGAAGGAAGGGAGGCAAAAAACAAGGTGATTGAGGGAATATATTGATTTGATTTGATTTATTCATTCAAGCATGTAAAACAGTTGATATGTCAACACATGTAATTTCACACATATCCAACAATAATAATCCAATATCAATTTACTTATACCTAATACATGCTTGAACGGAGTAGGAAGAAGTTAGACTTATCTAGTCCTACCCCATGACATCATCTTACAACTTTTAAGTCCTAAGCAATATCTCTACATAAATAATTATCCTCTACACCACACAAGTAATATACTACAGAATTATTACAGAGTGTTAACATTCTACATAATTACATTCATAGATAATTATCTTCTACGCCACACAAGTAATATACTAAAGAATTATTACAGAGTATTAACATTCTTACCCCACACCCACAATGTTCCATCTAATTAATCATTAAACCTGTTCTTGCATGTATCTTGATTGAAACATACCTTCATACTTATGTTTGAAGTCATCAATTCTAGTACTGTTTTTTATGTCCACATTTAAATTATTCCATAGTTTTACACCACTTATGGAAA